ATAGAACTCATACTTTTCATATAACACTTAGGTACTTGGTACTTAAATGTTAATCTAATATTTGTAAATGACTTGTAGATATTTACTGAAGAGTACCAGCTAAGCACAATCAAGTTGGAACTACACTCTCGGAGTTTAGTTTATTATTTATGCTTAGAACATAAATTACTTGTAATGTAAAACAATATTTGTTTTAGAACAACCTATGTTTTAATTTAGCATGTCTAAATTTATGTCTCAGTTATTTTCTTCAAATGTTTGATCATTACTTGATCATTTGTCATAACGATAATATCTATATTCAGAAATAATTAACTTCTATTTATGAGACTAGATCTCTTAATAGAATTGTAAAGTAACTATCAATATTTTTATAAATAAAATCAAGTTCTATATACAAGCACTTTTGACTTAAACTTGTTTTAAATCAAATTCATCTTTGACATTGTTATCTTTATTATATAAATGGCATTCACATATTCCAACTTTAAGAAAGGGATCTTTGAAAGCAAATAATGTAGTTTATTTGACATATGTGAACCTTAATTATATGTAAAGGATTCCTAATGATATTTTCACTAAGGTGTAGAGAAAATAATTAAGGAACTAGACACTTTGGTGTATGAGTTCCTTTCTAATAAATGTCTGAGATTAAGCACAAGATACCAAATTAACTTTATTAACAACTACAGTAGTTTTAATTATATTTTACGCGATAAAGCATAATTATGAAATCTTTGTTGAAGGTTTCAAAAGTTTAGATACAAACCGGTAAGAACCATCTAAGGCCTTAATGATAATAAAAGATGAATTAAATATTACTTGGTATGATTTACTTTCTAATCGGTAGAAATATCCTCCTTTAATATTTTTTGGGATAACACTTCAATCACTATTAATTGTATCTTATACACAAATACCAACTAATAAGTAGATTAAAAACTTTGTAAGATTTAGTATGGAAAGGCTCCATCCTCATCTTACTTAATGTTTTGTGGATTTAAAGCCGTTGCTGGACTAAAGCTTCTAAACCCAAAATCTACTAAATACATATTTGTGTAATACTCTAAATGTGGCTTTGATTATCATATGCAAACCCACCAAGAATAAGTTCTCTTATTCTTATGAAAGCTAAGTTAGTAGAAAGCAAGCTTCTAATGACAAATCAAGTGGGAGGTACATGGAACTTGAAGCAGCTCAAGAACCATAACCTTATGTAGTAATAGTTGGCACTAGTTTTAACAAGGATTTTAAACTTGAATAATAGCTATTTACAAACACAAATTGTTTGCATTAGTGGTACAAATCCTCTATGACTTGAGAAATGTGGAATCTCTCATTCATGAGATTTTATTGATGGTTTCTGGAAAATCCATCAAATACCAAGATGCTATGTCAGATCTCGAATCTGATAAATGACTTAGAGTAATAAACATGAGAAGTAATCCATTTATGAAAATCAAGTATGGGATTGATTAAAATTTATCCTTATAGCAAGGCTAGAAGGAGTAAATAATTCTTCTAGAAAGAATAAATTACATGGATAACCATACACATTTAAAGCAAGACTTTTTTAAAAGGCTTTACTCATACTCATGTCATTCACTATGGTCCTCATCATACTCATGACATTGACTGTGATCAAACATTTTTCACAATTAGCTATGATTAAATCAACAAGGATATTATTTACTATAAATCCATATTCTTAATATGAGATATAGCAAATAGATTTCAAGAAAGACCGCTTTTTCTAATAGACGTCTACTGGAGATATCTATATAGATTGGCCTGGAGGTTTGCTTAATCCATGATATCCTAACAAAATGTGTAGAGCTTGAGATCCACTTATGGATATAAAGCAAACATCTCAATGATATAATCATCATTTTATGTAAAACCACAAGGTATGTTTTATATTAAAATGAATAGAAAATGTGTGTTTACTAAGAACTAGTGGGAGCATAGTGAAATTCCTAATATTTTATGAATAAGACTTACATAATCATTTGAAATAACATTCTGACTAAGCAAGGTCGTTTTCACCTTGACTCGGAAAGTGTTTCTAAAATGAAAGACTTGGGAAGGAGAATATACATTCTTGGAATGTAAAATCTATAAGGGATAGATAAAATGAATGTTAAAAGTTTCATGTCCTTATACATATATTGGCAATATCTTGAAAGGGATCAAGACACAAGATTCTTTTGGAGAATTCTTGGCATTGTCATATGGCACCATTTTGAGCTAGCCTCAAAAGTACATAGCTCATTGGTTTGAACTAGATGAAATGATTTATATTCTATTTTCTTGGCAAATGAATTCATCATTTATGCCATATTATACATAGGACATGGTATTTGATCATGCTATATGCATGTTATAGGATACTAATTGAATACATGGTTAGGTCACTGGATGACTAAAAGAGCATTCTAAGAGTAAGAGAGCATTCTAAGAGTACTTTAGAAGAACTAATAGAGTGTATATGAAATAATCAGTTTAGAAAGGATCTTTATGGAAAGATCTACATAAGATGTTAATTTCTAAATATATATAAATAATTATGAATTATAATTGGATTTTGACATCATTATGGAATGAATGGTAAGTCTTGTTGGAATGAGGTCCAAGCCAAACATAATGACACAATCTGCTACAAAATAAGAATACACTACTTTAGAAGTTGAATTCAAATATGATTGGATGATTGGGATCATTAAAAAACTATGTTGATTTCTGCCATTCAAGGATCACATAGAAATCTTTGTGACTTCAAGAGTATACTTAATCAAGCTAAGAGACTCTGTCACGAAAGAACACCAATTATATTCTCCAAGATATTTAACTATACTTAGAGTGAAGTTAAGTATGGAGATGATAGTATTCACATAATTCACACAAATTAAATTTTGTCAGATCCATTGATAAAGTCATTCTTTTGAGCTAAGTATGAATGGTCACACTTCATCTATAAGACTTTATTATTCTAGAAATGGAAATTTGATTTGGATTTAGTATTTGCATATTGGAACATTATAACAACAACTATTAGATAATGTTATGATATATTTGGATATAGTCATCACATTAATACTTGTTGTGTTCTATATTAACATGTTTAATCCATGAATAATGTTATTATTCTAAAAGTTCATAGTCGGTTATAATTGTGGGAGCAATTATAAAGTAAGATTAATATGAATTGGATTGGTTGACTCTCACTAGATGAAAGTAGGTAAGCGGTTGTAACCAATTTTCTTAGGTACTTGTCAGAGAACTGGTATTGAACTGACCCGCATCAAGATCATCTCATGGATCGCTATCATGAACGATACTTGATTAAAAAGGTACTATTTTTGTATCCTTAACACTTGAGATACATAGTGGGACTTAAGTGTAGGGAGTACTATGTTTTGATATGGTCAAATGTTGTTCCTTAACCGGGCAGTTATAAAATCCATTTTTAGGTATGGTGTGAACTATGCAAGAGGCTTATGTAGTCAAGATGGTATTTGTTCCTTTTATGTGTTGAGAGTTAGACATCTAAGGAACCTTACCAAAAGTTGAACAACTAATGAGATTGATTGTGATCTGTATCTCATGTTCAACATGATGCCTGTAGCAAAGGGATAACTGATAAACTTACCTTATACACCAATTGTAGCTTTGAGCTTTTTGGGAATTGGGCGTTGATAGAATGGTACATAGTTGTATTTTGTTAGGGGCAGTGAAATGTTGCTAGACATTCACCACTGTCTATATCAGTCTAATATGAATCTTGCGCAAGTGGGAGATTGAAATGTCTAGTATGCTCAAGAGTCATATTAAAGTGATATTGCTAATTAACATATGATACTAATTGGTCACACTAACAACAACTTGATACAATTGATTATTTATTAGAAATTGGTTTTAATAAATATTCAATAAAATCTTATAATTAAATTGGAAATTATTCATTTCTAGGAAATAATAATTTTCACTAGAAAGTAACATTATATATTAATTCATATGGTATGAATTAATAAGTCATGCACAACATTTTGGAATTGACAAATTCTTTTGTCTTTCACCAAAAAGTTAAAGTTTATATTTTATAAACTTGGTTTATAAAATATAAAGTTTTTGCCTTCTTCCTTTTAGTATTTATAAAAATAAGAGTCAAAAGGAAGAGTATGACTTTTTGATTATTTAAATAAGAGTATGGGTTTTTGATAATTTAAATGAAAGAATGGTTCTTTGATTATTTAAGTAAGAGTATGGTCTTTTGAATAGTTTATTCAAAAGGTAGGGAATTGTTTTCACTATAAATACAAGACTTGAGGCTTTCACATCTTGTTGCTCATTCTTACTCTCCAAAACCGCAACCTCCTTAGAGGAGGTTACTCTCTCTCTCTCTCTCTCTCTCTCTCTCTCTCTCTTTCTCTCTCTCTCTTCTTCATCTTTTCTTGAAGATTACTTGCTTTTACATGCCCTCTTTAAGTTCATATTGGTTATGAAATTAAAGCTTAAGGGATTAAGAGTTTATAGACTAGCATCTACATCAAGTTGAGTCATTGTTGGTGTCTCAAAGGTTCCACATTCTTCATCAACTTCCAAGCCTCCCAAGAGGACCCAAATAACTAAAAAGGTTGTCATTTCTTCACCTCTTCTTTGGTTGGTGTTTAAATCTTTCTACAACTTGCAAGGAGATCCTTGGTGGGTATAAAATATTATGTTATCTTCAAAATTTGAAGTCTTTCATATTTTTCTAGTTTATGAAACTATTTTTGAACTAAAACCCAACAAATTTGAATTTGCAGATTTTTCGTATCTATAGTTTAATCAACAACACTACTAAAGTCATAATTTTGTTTAGTTATTGCAAATTCATACATTTTTTTCTCCACCCCCCCCCCCTTGGGATTTAGTTAAGGTTATATGCTACTATTATCTAGCTATCTCTCTTTAACTAACAATCAATTCTAATTTTTGATCTTCTTTTATTCTCTCAAGATATGACTACCAAAGAAGATGGACAGACTTCTAAAGCAGAATCTTCTCATAAGGCGTCCAAATCCCAAGCAACAGGACCTTCCACGGTGGCAGACACATCTTCATCAAAAATCACCATGGCCTTACACAACTATATCACACTTCTTGACACTCAGGATCAACCCAAAGAAATAAGTGTTATAGTTGACTATCAGCAAAAATGCCTACTGGCATATGCACTCACGACTACCTCTCAGACTCCAGAGTCTCTTATCTTCCAAGTCTTTCAGTTTGCTGCTATAACTCCAAGAGCGCATTCAAAAGAGCTTGATGTTGAATTTGATCTTGGACAAACCACCTTGCTACTAAATAAAGAAGAGTTCGAAACTTGTTTAGGTCTAAAACATGGTTCTCGTGAACCTTCAACATTTGTCACACCTTCTTCTGCTCAATTGTCGACAATGTTCAAGGAAATGGGGTCCAAATTTGAAGAAACAGTTGAACCAGACCTCTCAAGAATTAATAGAGCTCTCCTTCCCGCGTAATGGCACTTTCTCAGTTTCGTCCTCACTCGGTGTCATTTTGGGTCAGTTGGTGGATGCAGTTGTGGTTCAATAAATCTTTGGATTGTCATGTATGGCCTTTATTATGATATCAATGTTGACTACATGTTTATTCTTTGGGAAGACTTCCTCACCTTTCTTCCTGCTTCAAAGAATAAGTTCCAAATTCATTGTCCTCGTTGGTGGTCCATCATTAGTCATGATCTCATAACTAATAGAAATTTTCCACTATAGGAGATTCCAAAATGCCCAATACCTAAATTCTTGCATATGTCACCACATCGGATCTGTGGTACATCTGAATCTGAGTTTTCACATCCAGTTCTCATTCCAGATGTTATCCTAGAAAAGTTGGATGAAGATAGTGTTTCTCTACGCTCATATCAACAATACGTTCAAGGAAACTATATGTCTCCTAAAAAGAAGATGAAGCACTTAGGTCATGCAGCGAAGAAGCCGACAAAGGAGAAGAAGCAATCAAATTCAAATCATCTGCCTTATATTCCCTCTCCATACATATCTGAAGATAATCTTGGAGCAGATTTAGATGAGACCACATCTCCTCATAAATCCGGTACAACCTCTAAGCCACTCCCTTTCTTAGATTCCTTGTTTCAAGCTCCATTTGATTATGCCGAATCATCATCCCCAGCTCCAGTTTCACCAGCATTCTTTCAGTCGGATCTAAAAGGTCCAAGAAATCGTGTCTCCTTGGTTGATTATGACTCAAACGAGGACAATGAACAAGAAGGTGAAAAGCAATTCGAAATTGAAGATCTCACTAAAAGCTCTCTAGTACAAGATAATCAAGATGAAGATACTCATATGCAGACGGTAGACATACCTTCCCGTGGAGGACTGATAGTTGATGATGAACCAAATGACATGTCAATCGTTCTAAAGTCCAAAGCATCTACCAGAACATTGAGCATTGATCTTGATGATTACTCTCCATCACCACAAAATGATTCTCAAGAGAATGATTATACTCAATAAGAAAAGTTCTCTTCTTTTCCATCGGATCCTCCTCAGGAAGATGGTACTCCGACAGATACAGATGAAGCAAATACATCTGAACCTGAGCCTGAACGTATTAGACTAACTGTCCAGATGGTAGCTGATGGTATTGAGGAAATCTGCTTCCACACATCCTCTCATTCTGAATATCTAGAAAAATTTCAATGGTATCTTGAACGGCTGGCAGACAATGTGTGTATCCTTAATGAAATAACAGAAGCACTGGTGAAAAAACGGTCGGTCACCATTGAAGACATTTGTGGCACGACTTTGTATATCCAGGGACAATCGTTCGTAACATGCGGCAGATCGAAAGTCTAGATCCGAAAATTCAAAAGACCATCGAAGATCATGTCTCTCTGATGTATCAGAAGATCGATGATTTTCTTCAGTCTTTATCAAATCTAGATTTTTTCTATGAAACTAAAATAGATCATCTGCAGATTAATATCACTGCTCAAGCCAATATATTGGCACTCTTTTAAAAGTCAGTTGCAGAACTTTCTAAAGCTTCAGAATCATCTTCAGCTACTCCTATTCAAACATTTAGTGAGCAAGTTCAACGTCAATTGGATTCATTGCGATCTGACATTGCAAATCTCTCTAAATCCAATTCTCAAAAGGTCCATGACTACTCAGGTTATATCTCTTCACTTCAGAAAAATGTTCAACTACTAGTCAATGAATTCAAGGATATCAAGACGCAATCTCCTTCGTCTGATATACGTGAGGTTCAACACAAAGTTGCCTTGTCTGATTCCAAGCTAGACTTGATCCTGGAAAAGTTATTTGGTTCAAATGACAGGACACCTGAACCAGAGGGGGAAAAGGTAGACATGTCCATATCAAGTCACTCTCCTGTCATTCATGAAGTTCCAGATTCACCAAATGAGTTCGAGAAATGGAGAAAAGAAAAATTAGATGCAGTTGACAAAATAGCTGCTGAATCAAGACTAAAAGCTCAACAAAACAGAGCACCGATGGCAGAAACAGAAAAGGAACTCATTCGAAAGTAAGGGATCAAGGATCCAACACTATAGGTGCCAAGAAGGAAAAAGGCTTACATCACCAAACCTATCACTATATCACAACCAATCGTCCAACCAAAACTTCCCCAATCAATCCTAAGGATAGAGGAAAACGAAAGGTTGTCTTCAAATCAAAGAAGGAGTTAGACAAAGAAGCTCAAATGAAAATGGATGAAGAGTTAGTAGGGCAACTTGAAGGTAAGGAGTTAAAGTCTAAAAAATAGTTGCTTCTAGGAAAGAAATATTCAGAGATCTGTTCTGAAGAAAGAAATGTTGAATCATAAAAGTGACCCTCTTGAACTTCAGCTACCGCGGTCCTCAAGAATCCGCAGTCAGATCTCCTTCAGCAACCGCACCCGAAGCCATCATCAATCGCAGTCACTCTTACTTACTATATTACTTTACTTTTATTGTAATACTCTCTATTGTCCAGTATGCCTTGCATGACTACTCTTAGAGATTTGATCCATGTAACTCCTGAGTCTCTATATAAAGACCTCACTCTTTCTCATTTGATACAACTTTCCCAACTTCACTTCTATCTGATTACGCACCTTAAATCTCTCCTTACTCTCAAAGTTCACTAGAACATTACTAATATTATTACTCTTCAGAGCAAGTCATTCGTGACTTAATCACTAAGTTCGATCTCACTTACTAACTTGGTCTGAATGCATTCCATGTTATGAATCAACTTATGTGTATACTTGATATATCACCTGCTGTCATTTATATTCCTTACATTTCCACAACTAACTCTCTAACTATCTAACTCATTAACTCTTTATTATTGTTGAGCTTTTAGATCCTTGGAGATAAACTATTCCGCAACTATACTTGTTTTAACGTTTGTTCAAGTGTCTCAAGCTTTTCTCTCAACAATTGGTATCAGAGGCATAGTGGTTGCTTTTTGAAAACAAAACTCTGATTTTCAAAGGGCCTTCTATACCACTGAAGCTCATCTCTCAAAAAAAAATTTTTAAAAATAACAAGGAAAAATGGCACAAGCACTGTCTCTGAATGTTTCCAACATTGTTGGTGGTTCGAATCGAGCCCCAATACTGGTTGCAAATGAATATCATCACTGGTCTCAGAGAATGGAAAGGTACTTAAGAAGACTTGGTAGAGATGTATGGCGATCCGTAGAAGAAGGACCACATGTCCCTGTTCTTACACCAGTTCAAACCGATGGCGCCACAACCAGACTAGGAGGAGGACAACCAGTCATGAACCGTCCCACCAAGGATGATCTCGATAAAATGGAAAATGATGCTGTTGCTTTTTATGAAATCTCTTGTGGAGTTCCTCCTAACAACTTCGACATTATCATAAACTGCAAATAAGCAAAAGAGATCTGGGAAGTTCTCAAGAATTTGTACGAAGGCTCAAAACAAGCTCAAGACAAGAAGCTTACAACTTCACTCAATGAGTTCAATAATTTCAAAGCTCATACTGGCGAAAGTTTAGAAGACTCCTTCAAAAGGTTCAACCTGATAATCACCAAGTTATCAAATGCTGGCACCATCCGCAGTAACCATGAAACAAACCTTTAGTTTCTCAACGGTTTGGGAAGACATTGGACTACTGCTAAGATGATAGTTCAAGGGGATAGAAAGATTCATTCTTTGTCTCTCTACAAGCTCTACGGGGAATTGCAAGCACAAGAATCCACCGTACTCAAAGACTGTGCTGACTTCGGAGGACCACTTGCTCTTATAGCACAAGCTCCACATAATCAATCCTACTCTACCTCGTATGATACTACACCGCAGTCATACGAAGCTGACTCAGAGTATGATGATGAAGAAGAATTTCAGAAAGCTATTGCTCTTGTTAGTAAACAGTTCAATCAGCTACCACCTCCTTTATTTCGTAAAAATCAACAGTTCAACAAACCTCCATTCAACCGTAACTTCAAACTGCAGAACAACCATTCACGTTATCCCAAAAGTTCTCATCCACCACCTCACTCTCAAAATACTCAACCAAAGGAGGCACCGCAGTCCATTCAAACCACTGACTCCGGTACTCCCTCAGAAGACAAAACTGATGTTGTTATTTGTCACAAGTGCAACAAAGAGAATCATTTTGCAAGAGATTAAAAGGCAAATGTAGTGAAAGACAGAGCATTCTATCTTAGAATGGCTCAAGAATTGGAAGAAAAAGAAAAGGCTAGGGCATACGTAGCCCATGTCAAAAGAGACCATCAAGTTTGGTCATCCGGAGATGAAGAGGAAGCCATCAACAATGTCAAAAGAAAAGGCAAAATCTGCATGCTGGCAACTACGGATGATGATGAGTCTACAAAGCTGGAAAATAACTACTGCTACATGGCAAAGGATGGAACACTAAGCATCGTTGAACAGGTAAAACTCATGATTCAAAGTCTAAACTATAACATGCATGACTGTCAACCCATCATAGATGATCTTAATGACACATGTGCTGCCGTCCTTACAGACTATAACAAAGCCTTAGATGAGAAGAATATAGCGTCGCAAGAGATCTTTCATGTAAGAGGACGACTGGACAACAAAAGACTCAAAATGGCTATGTTAGAAAAGGACTTAAAGTTAGAAAAAGATGCAAGAATGTTGAGTGAAACACAACTAGAGATAGCTTTGAACCAAAGAGATTTAGCTCATAGTGATATTGTACGCTTAAATATTTTAATAGAAAAATTGTTCAATGAAAGTGAAGCTATTGAAAATTTGGTGAATAATGGAACTGTGGACAATACATACAACTGGGATTGGTCCAATGGATATCCTACCGCAAAGGATTCCTCACCCCGATTCAACAAAGATCGACTGTATGTCCCTCCGGACCGAGAATTTCATTTTCCAGTCAATGACAAGACCTTTCCCAAAGATATCAGAACACACTTCGGTAGACTTCATAATCTAAGTAATAACTGTGTCATAGAGGAAATCGTGCCTGAGGTTTCGGGTCACACATGTGATTAAATCTCTATCTGTGGTACAATATATCCAAATTCTCAGACCTCATCAGTTGTTGATGAAGAAATTGTCATAGAGGGTCCCGAAGTCACACAAGACCCTCCCATCTCTGCCCTCAGATCGCAGTGTTTCTCACTGTAGTTATGAACCACAGAAGTCCCACAAAATTCCCACTGTAATCCCAACTCAGACTTACTCTGCGGTAGTCAAATCATCCTTACCACATTCATCAATAAAAGGCTCTGTGACTCTTCAGCCAATTCATCATGAATTACCCATAGAAAACTTTGAAGTGGGTCAATGCTCTCAAAACCCTGAATCTTCAAGTTCGGATGAATCAAGTCCTCGTTTTCAAAAAATTTCAAAGGCTTCCAAGAAACCGCATCTGAACACCAATGACTGCGGTTCTTCAAAAACTTTAGCAAAAAGGCTTTCAAAGAGGAAATTCGATCCCGAGGCACAAATAGACAAACCTTTTCTAAAAACAAAAGACATATCAAATTTCCAAAATCTAAAAGTCCAGAAAAGTTTGTTTTCTCTCACTATTTTTCAAAAAACTCTCCTGTCAAGAAAACATGCAAAAAGGAATGTACAGTTTCAACAGTCATTCCTAACTCATCTTACACAACCCAAAAGAATGTAAGGTCTTTTCGAAGCAATGGTTTTCAAATCTATTCCTCAGATAATCCGAAATGGAAGGGTATTTTACCCACTCCAACACTTTTAAAATCACATCAAAATTTTAACAAGTGGAAGGGCATTTTACCAAATCCAATAAAAAGGTTCAAAGAGTCTACACGTGCTAAATCCTTTTCGAAACAAACTTTTTCAAATTCCAACAGCACCAATGTCAGAGATTACCAACCTCGGACCGGTCACAAGTCTACTTCATCCTTTAGACCACTGACCAAACCAAGTGTCAGAACAAAAGACAAAATTTCAGCATGTCAATGTCAGTGTAGTTGTCAAAATGGTTCATCTCATGTCAAAT